CCTTAGGTACTGCTTCATTCAATGCATGGCCAAATGGGAAACTAAAGTCCACTACTACTCTCCTCTTATCACTGTTCCGTTTCTCCACTGTTTGTAATGGTAAAGAAACCACTGGGGACGAAAAAGGGTTCTTTGGAAACGGTCCCACTATGGCACCTAGGCGACGCTCTTCAGAAAGAAAATGATCAACATGTGAAGAATACGTTGTGGCAGACTTATGATTCTTAGGATACAAAACTGCAGGCGGACTATAGAGTTCTTCCTGAACGTTGATGGGCCAACCGAAATCCAAATAATCCACTATATGCTTGTGCTCGTAATCTTTGAGTAACTTTCTCCAGGTATGTATATTCAGATTTGAGTCCACCGGTCTACGAGCGCCAATATAGTTAGGAACATTAAATGCCGATACCTCTTCATGTAGCCTGATCGCCTTGTGTGCCGCCACGTGCGGGGCCGGGTCCCTGGGAGAAGTGGGCGGAGTTACCGAAGCTGCGATTTGCTCTGTCTGCCGGGCCCCGAAATGGCCGTGGTTTGTGCTGGCACTCTTGACTCGGGTGCGGTGCCTGAATCTCCCGAACTATCAAACACGCACTACAGACGTGTAACAGTGGGGCGTTCCATCGTGTGCTCCAATGCCCGGAGGGTAGAGAACAGGACCCGGTCTGGAACTCGCCACAGTAGCGCGGTCTGCTTGCCGACACTCGAGCCTCTTTCACAAGCCCCGCCCTCGGAGCGTTGCCCGCGTTGCCCCGAGCAACCCTAGCCTGTGTTCGGTAGTGTCTTTCCCTGACAGCATCAAAGGCACCGCGGTTCCCCCATGCGAGCGATCCGTATTCCATCCCATACAGTAAAGATGCGTGAACTTCCCGTACTGCAACCCAATCATAGTAGACAGCATCGAACATAAGATCTGCTAGGTGAACCAACTTATGCTCTGCGTCCGTAGATACACGCTCACGATCGAGAACATTCTTAACATAGCCGTGCACAAACATGGGTAGGGATAACTCGTCATAAGTCACGCCCCCTTCTTTACCATATCCCGGGAAATGCACCCGATGTTGTGGCCAATCAACTTTGACCCGACGTGTACCCGAATCATTAATAGTACGGTTACGACCGCTCTTACCTGCACGACGTCGCCTCCTAGAACGTGAGCGGGAGTCGTACGAAGATGTGTCTGAGTCATAGTTGCGCCGGGAGCGTTTGCCTTTCTCTTTCTTCTTGCCGCCGACCCTAGTAGCGCTCCTCTTCTTACGCGACCCCCTGCGACGCTTGCGCTTGTCTGGTTTTCTCACGAAACCCAACTCTGACTCTGTTGTGTCGGATGACAGCGTTTGGGCGGATCCCTAGCCTCGGTTTTCTTCTTACGCGACCCCCCTGCGACGCTTGCGCTTGTCTGGTTTTCTCACGAAACCCGACTCTGACTCTGTTGTGTCGGATGAAAGCGTTTGGGGCGGATCCCTAGCCTCGGTCTTCTTCTTACGCGACCCCCTGCGACGCCGGCGCCTTTCTGGTTTTCGTGTGTAAGCTGACTCCTCTGTGTCGGACGACCGCCCCGATTCAGTCTGTGATGATGTTGAAGTTGAATCAAAGTCGCTCTCGTCAAGGCATTTGTCGCTGATCCTCCTCTCCTGGCTTGTAACTGGATGTAACCAGTCGTCCAAAGCCTTGTCCACCTCTTTGACCAATTTCCTAGATTCTCTCAGGTCTCGTATGTCAGGCTGGTCTTTCACTTGTGCATACTCCCTGCTCCGATCACGTGCGTTTTGGCGAGAAACCTGGGGAGGGGGCTCACTTCTTGCTCGAACGCTGGCTTTCTCTCCGCCGTAATCCGACGATTTCTTTAGGTTGTATGATCTAGACAACCTCACCTCCTCTTCCGCGTCTTCCGAGAGGCTGTCCGACCAGGCCTTACGCACTAGCTCCGGAACTTTACTGTGCCGCCGAAGGCCTCTGATCTTCTCCTGAACGTTAGCACTACCCCGCTGTCGTCCGAAAAAGTCTTCATCTGAGGTTCCTTCTGGCCGCTCAAAAGTGCACCTGCCGCGGCCGTATGGTCCCGGGTGTCCTTTCACTGGTAGCCGACACACGGAACATCGTCTCTTCTTCTTCCTCTTCTTCTCAGGATCAGACTCCATACTCGCAAAACACCAGATGAAGAGACAAACTAAAACAAGACCGGCACCCGCGTACCGTCAAGTCGAATGGCGTATCACGTGATCGTGTCAAAGGTTACGGGCCGAAACAAAAGAAACGGGGGTTTTCTAGACAATTAACAAAAATTACCAATGGTCAATTTTTCCCACTTGGAGAGTCCAAAGTCCACAGTTATCATTAGCTCTATAGAGAAGGCAGCGTTTGGAAACAGAACGTTTGGAAAGAAACACCAAAGGTCTCAACTTATGTCTCTTGGGAAGGTTTCCAATTTCCTGGCACAAAAATGGAACTTGTCCACGCATACTCAGAATCGTACCTGGGGCATATCTATGTGTTCTTGGATATCTAGAACCATGGCTGATCCTAAACCTAACGCATTCAGGCATAGAACTCAGCAGACATGGTTCTGGATACAATAGAGACTATCCAGAACCGTGCCTGATCCTGACCCTAACGCATTCAGGCATAGAACTCAGCAGACATGGTTCTGGATACAATAGAGACTATCCAGAACCGTGCCTGATCCTAAACCTAACGCATTCAGGCATAGAACTCAGCAGACATGGTTCTGGATACAATAGAGACTATCCGGAACCGTGGCTGATCCTAAACCTAACGCATTCAGGCATAGAACTCAGCAGACATGGTTCTGGATACAATAGAGACTATCCAGAACCGTGCCTGATCCTAAACCTAACGCATTCAGGCATAGAACTCAGCAGACATGGTTCTGGATACAATAGAGACTATCCAGAACCGTGGCTGATCCTAACCCTAACGCATTCAGGCATAGAACTCAGCAGACACGGTTCTGGATACAATATTGACCTCACGGTCATCGCACGTACTCTGTCCTTTGATCCTAGATACTGTGTTATACGTCCTTGGAGAGTCCAAAGTCCACAGTTATCCTTAGCTCTATAGAGAAGACAGCGTTTGGGAACAGAACGGTTGGAAAGAACACCCCAAAGGTCTCTACTAGTATATGTTTCATGGGGTTTTCTGTTACAAAAAAAATGGGTCTTGTCTTCAAGTATTTCATTTGCAACTCTTTATTTCATTCAATCCTAGGCATTGCAGCAACAGCACAGCAAAAAGAAGAATATTATTACAGATTGTACGATTATTGCTGATTAACTTGAAAATGTGACGTTATTTATTGTATTCAGGTAACAATTCTTTAAGCTAAAAAGATTGCGGATGTCGCGTGATAGCTTGTCCAAGATGAATTATCCGTTGTGACTTAAAGTGTAATCCTTCATTTCCAGTGTAATAAGCTTAACTGTATGGTAGTATAACGTGTGGATTATTCAGTTATTCAACAAATACTTCCATGTATACAGTGTACAGTATCGAAGACACAGAGTTGATTCATGATGAGATTGCCATTTGGACCTTGTATATAGGGTGTAACACTATACTGATACTGACACTGATTCTTACATTGTCTTCCATATACTGATATGGATTCTAACATTTTCAGTTCGTACTTATACTGTCGACTGTCATAAGCGGGCTTTGTAACATTTCTAACTGTACTTTTCTGTACAGCAGCCAGTGAAAATTATTGTGTGAGACATCCACAGTTAAATCATCATTTACCTTTGTTTCCATTTCTCAGTTAAACTGGAACACAAGCATCTAGGTGCTTCTATTGTAAAACCATCCTGTATTTTGTAGAATTATGTCCAGTGAAGTACTAAGAATAGAAAGTCTAAAGCAGTTACGCGTTTAGCTGTTTACTTCTAGCCTTTAAAAGCATGACAATGCAAATCAATCTATCGATCAGTTTTTAGGTTTTCAAAAACTCGCATTTTCAGTCCGGTGGGTTGGTCCGTGAGGTCAGTGGTCAGTTAGCCCAGCACGAGAACGAGGCCCCGTCCTCTATGCAGTTCATGCCGTCTGGACAGGAGGCGCTGTTGCAGCGGTAGTTGTTCTTGCGAACGAATGGCGCTGGAAGGAGAATTAAGATACAGATTATACGATTTTTTTCTGTTTAATAATATTTCATTGCAATAAATCAAACAATATTCTATATTCAAGCTATGTTTTGACAAAGGTATTGTTTCTGCCTTTTTATGCTTTTTTAAAGGATAGTTTTGACTGTAGATAGCTTTCGTCTCTAATCATGAAAACAAGTTTGCTGCGGACCTTGGCTATACTTGGATGTGGCTATTGGACACTAGATGTTGGGTAGAATAAAAAAAAGAAAGGCCATGTTTCTACCGTTACGGACCTTCTATTGTTGTCATTTTCAAATGTAGATCCTATACAATAATCATCTCACTGTATTCTAACGTATAAAGCCTATGTACATAGTATGGCTCTCCCTCATAAAACCAGATAAGACAGTTTAACAACATTTCCACTTTTTATACCTACCCAGGCAGGTGAAGTGAGGTCCGTAATCCTGGCAGGTCCAGTCGAACGGACAGGTCACCAGGGAACACCAGTCTACGTCTGAGGCAGAAACAACATGTAAACTCACGGTCAGTAAAGAGGCGTCAACTCACGGTTAGTACAGACGCGTCATGTGTGCAACCTATGAGAGGATTTATTGTTTATATAGGTGTGTCATAGTCATCATCAAAATCATCACCTAGCATACCGACTACAGTGTTGGAGAATTTATTTGATTTTGATTTGTGAGTGATTTTCATCGCCAAAAACAACTTGATTTCAGCTCAGTTTTGGTATTTTTAATAACATATCATTTAGTCGATACGGTGAGAAACAAGTAGGTGATTTTTAGCCTGGGTATCGTCCTACTTGTATGCCGGGGCTCCGGTCTCTCAATTATTATGAGAGAGTATGAGTATGAGTATATTATTAAGAGTATGAGAGCCCCGGCATACAAAAAGGGTGGTATCCAGGCTAGGTATTTCTTTTACCTCCTTCACAGTTATCCCCGACGTAACCAGGCAGGCATCGGCATCGGTAAGAGTTGACGTCATCATGACAGGTTCCGCCATTTTGACAAGGATTCGACGCGCATTCGTTGATGTCTAAAACAAGAAAATAGATCAACCATTCATTTCTTAGCTGTTTTTTCTTCTTTAGGTTCAACTATTTTAGAGACGTTTTGGAAAATGCAAGATATGTTCATCTTACATTGCTACATCTACGTCCCCTATGAAATTGGGACGAAACAATATATTTGGTCTTATTATTGTGTAACCAGCTACATTGAAAAGTACATGGGAAATGACCAAACAGTCATAGTTAAAACTTACTGATCTCGCACGACTTTCCTCCGAACCCATCAGGACAGTCGCAGAAAAAGATGGAGTCGCCGAAGCAGGAGGTGCAGTTTCCACCGTTCTGACAGACATGCTGTCCACAGGACTGGATATCTGCAATATTAAGGATACAAAGCACCATTGGTCGATCCAAATGGTATGTATCAGAGAGAGAGAGAGAGAGAGAGAGAGAGAGAGAGAGAAGAGAGAGAGAGTGTGTGTGTGTGTGTGCAAGTGTGTGTGTGTGTGTGTGTGTGTGTGTGCAAGTGTGTGTGTGTGCGTGTCTGTGTTTGAGTGGTGTTAGTGTGTGTTTGAAACCCAACCTGTCTTTATACTACAATCTCGTTTTGCATCTCGCCATCAAAGCGAGAAAATAAAAATGAAATGCAAACTCGAAGCAAATTTTGGTGAGACCTTGATTTTTGTTGAAACAACGTTGATCTAGTTACAATTATTTAAGACCATTAAATGCATTATGCATATCAAGAAAAGACTCCACTGTACCAGACTGGCAGATGTAGTTGTGGTGTTCCGTGCAGGAGGTCGGTTCTGCCTGGAAGCTGTTGGAGCTGTCCAGGAGAACACAGAAGTCACACTGGGCAGGAGGCTGGACGGCAGATATCTGCAACGGACCTGGTGTTGGTAAATGTTAAGAGATAAGTTATTTAAAATGGTCACCAAAATGTTCCATAGCTTTATTCACCTCCCCAACCTACAAAACACTCACACAAAAACCTACAAACATTTCTATTAACACATCCAAATTCATACATCTCGCAAAATGTCGGGCATTTCATGCCCCACTGCACGCAGAAAAAAATCAAACTCAACAATAACATATCAAACGTAGTGGTAATGGTGGCATTATCTATTGTTTACTATTTTATAATGTTCTTGCAATCAGTCCTCGGGCATACGTTGCATAACAGTAACGTTGGTGTAAGTCCTGACATGGCCGTGAGTGGCTCACACATAACTGCAACACACTAGCCGCAGGTTAGAGTAAGATGGACACAAACCTTGAGCAGGCGAGTCATCACTGTAGGCCAGGGTGTACACATGTTGCAGTTTCATCCCCAGCCAGTTGGAGGCTCCAGTGGTGGCTGCGATGCTGCTGGCGATGAAGCTTTGCTGCTGCCCGTCCTTCACGTCCGCCAGGTGACCGTTCTTGGTACTGCAGGCCTGCCGGGCCTCGGCGTGGGAGAGGGCGTCGGGCGAGAACTGGTAGCATTGTCCGGAAAACGCAGCTGAAACAGATGCGGTGTTATTTAGAAGGAAGCCTGACAGTGTAAAGATTTTGTAAGTTGGCCTTACACATATCTGATACGTCTACATTTTCATTATCATAGATATTGTCTAATGGGTCAACAATTGAATGTATATATGGCAAGAAATTGGACATAGCAAACCATGGTGCATTTCAAAACCTAACAGAAAACCTAACATTGAATGATATTGCACCCAGGGGAATTCACTGGTTTTCAACCTCATTTCTTACTGCTGCCCTGCCTAACACCCAACACAAACAGCTTGGCTCACTGTTGTTACGTTTGTTACATGTTTGTAATTGCAATTCCAGGAAACGTAGACAGGTGGCGCAAATGTCACACTCTCTGCAGCTGGGCTGTCTTTTCTTCCATGCAGACACTGTATAGAACTCAACTAAGGAGCACAGATAGAGGAGCAGGCACTGAGGAAAACATGCAGATAAAACATGACATGCATTTTTAACTCTTGTCTAACATCTAACACCATATGTTTTATATTTGTTGTTAGAAATCTAAGAAGATAATCAGTACAAGGACCCCTGATTACACTGTGAAAAAGCAGGACACACATTCTGAACCACCGTCTAACATATAACACTATTAAGCGCACCACATGTGGTTATCTGCATGTGGTTACCCCAGGGATCATTGCAATGTTACATTATCTTGTTAGGTTCCTAACAGAAAACTAACACAGACACTGTGAAAAAGCAGGACACACATTCTGAACCACTGTCTAACATATAACACTATTATATAAGCGCACCACATGTGGTTATCTGCATGTGGTTACCCCAGGGATCATTGCAATGTTACATTATCTTGTTAGGTTCCTAACAGAAAACTAACACAGACACTGTGAAAAAGCAGGGCACACATTCTGAACCACCGTCTAACATATAACACTATTAAGCGCACCACATGTGGTTATCTGCATGTGGTTACCCCAGGGATCATTGCAATGTTACATTATCTTGTTAGGTTCCTAACAGAAAATTAACACAGACACTGTGAAAAAGCAGGACACACATTCTGAACCACTGTCTAACATATAACACCATGGTCCATTAAGCGCACCACATGTGGTTATCTGCATTTGGTATCTCATGCATCCTGCCTCTAATTAAGAACAGCACGGGCTACCCTAGTAGGGCTACCCATGCATTGCAAGCACTGTTAGATCCCAATCTCCAAGCAGAGGTCGGTGGGAAAGAAAAGTGATAGGAAACACGGAAAAAACGTCAATATTTTTGTAATTAGAGCCTGAATGGAAATGAAATTTAGCATGCTAGTAGATTGGTATTTAACATACCGAACCTTGGTCTTTTTTGGTCAACATAGATGTCAAAAATGATTTTAATGGCCAAAAAATGGGTTCAAAAAGTTCTATTTTAGGCCAAAAATCAATTTTGGAAGAAAATTTGAATTCAGAGTTCGATGACCGCGGGTCACTGATCAAAGTGCATCGGAACACGTTCTATCACAATGTCCTTGGTGTAACTTCTTGCATAATTTCGCCCCGCCGAGCAGGTGTTTCAGTAGCCTCCATAGCATGCCAAAAACTGGGGATTTTGGGGGTCTTCAGGGTCTTTGGAAGCTTTTATGTGCTATTTTCTGATTGCATATAGACAACATAGCCGGCCTGGTTGAATTACCGTTTTTTTTTTAACTGGACTAATCAGAAAACAGCCCAAGACCACCCAACCCCCAGTTCTATAAGCCTGCTATGGAGGCTATGGTTTCAGATCAAAATTAAAAATGCACTAAAACTGAACTAGCTCCTGATTTGATAGAATATCATGAGTATAGTGACTTAGGCTTGTTGTTGTTAAAACAAACATAATTTTGACGGCCACTTTTTTTTATCTGCTTTTTTTTTGGTTATCTGTAACTATTTGTCGACGCCGTAATCTAATCCTGGATAGTGAGCGAGTGAGTGTGTGTAGGGGAGGGGGGTCTTTACAGTAGAGTTGTTTACATATCAAGACACATGCTGTCGGTTTTGTCAGTTTTAATCTTTTTCTTGATAATGTGATAAGTATGGTTACCTATACAGAATTTTGACAGCTATTTCAAGGCTAAGAAAATATTGTGAGGGCTTCAATATAGGTGAAGAAATATGTGAACGCTGTTTTCACTAAATTTATGCCGTGAGGCGTCATGTTCAATTTGTGTTCTCCGAGCTTGTGAACTATTAATAGAGTAGGTTTATTTAGCGGGGGGGGCGGTCGTCTTGGGGGGGGGGGAGGGTCAAGGGGAAAAAATTGGCTTAGGGGGAGGGTCTAGGAAAAATTTTTGGACCTGGGGGGAGGGTCAAGGGAAAATATTTTTCTCCAGATCCAGAATAACTTCAGACATTCTCTCACCAAAATTGAGCTCTCAAAGTGTGGGAAATAACGTTTTTGGTGACCTTCAAATTAATTTTTCCGGAGGAAAAATCCCCCCGGACCCGTCCCCTAGTAACACGATCTACGTCAATTGGGCGTGCATGTACGTATCGTAGCGATCCGGGGCTCAACAAGTATGTGTCTTTGGACACCTTATCTTTGCCACAGACAGTTGGTCGGAGAAAGTCCCTTTTTTATGAATTCGAAGATGGCTCAGAAGTGCTGCTACAGGAGATAGCGGCTCAATTTACACAAAAAGGAAGCCAGCGGCTCAGATATTGTTTCCATTTACGCTGCGCCCGGCAGAATAACCCCCGGGCCAGAACTGTTCAATTTGTTATTTGACACTAGCACTGTATTTTATCATTAGTGTAGGACAGTGCGTGGCAAGTGTCTAAAGTTTGAAGTTTGCGTGGCAGAAATTGATACTTTTCAGACCGTAACACTCTATGTAGTTTTTTGCGGAAAAATTTTAAATATTCTAATTATACTAAATTTCAATGTTATTAACAGTTACTATCACTTTTCAACACATTTGTGTCATCATTTCGCATTTTTACGTATATTTTGTCCGTTCAAACAGTCCTTGTTCTGTTCTCGGTGCCACCGGTTTGCTCTGAGGACAACAACAACAACATACAGGGGTTGCCCCCTAGGGTGGCTAATTGGCCCCGGCATGCCAGGCTTGAGAGACAGGGGCAGATGTCACAAGATAAGCCTCCTTAGAAAAAACTCATATCTTTCACATGAGGTGGAATATAATTATCAACTTAGAGTATTTTGTTTGGCATGAATAAACTGTGGTCA